ACATATTTCTTAGCACAAAAGACCTGCAGGTCCATSCTCCATGGATTTGTCTTGCAGAAGGCTGGTCTTGAGTTTCTGTAATCACACAAGTCAGAAGGCATACAGCACAGAACACCAGCTTAACTCCCAAGTTTCTCAATGAACAGATTCCCATCTCCCTGCAGCAGCACTTGTACCCTGGGATAAATGAGCAATTCATAGTCCTGAGAAAGCGCTACCACTGAACCGTGTCCACAATACAGACCGGGATGCAGAAGCCGCCACAGAAACAGAGAACACAAAACAGTCAATGCTGCAGTGAGACTCTGGAGATTTCCTAATACAACTAAGAACTTGGGCACGTTGCTCAGATCATGTCTATTCAGGCTATGACCATTTTCTTCAAGGAAAGAGACTCCAAAACCTCTCTTGGTCACTTGTTCTAGGCATTTGAACAATCTCACGGTAAAATAATTAAGTTTTAAGGAAATTTTCTTTATTTCAATTTGTGAGCATACACATTGRTAAGATTTCCCCTGAGGCTTTCTCTCCTCCAGGCTGAAAAATACCAGCTTTCTCAGTCTCACCTCATAAGAGACACTCCCATCCCWTATTAAACTTCACCATCATTTCCTGGACTTGCTGAAGTATGGTCTCTCATACTGGGGAATCCAGAACTGAAAAAGCACTCCAGATATGTCACACCCCATAGAGTAGGGAGGAAGGATCATCCTTGATGATGCCAATCATGCTTTTCCTAATACAACCCCAGAAATGTGCCACTGGTGTCCTTTGCCTCAAGGGAACATTGCTATCCCTGATGAGCTTGGTGCTCACCAGTACCTCCAGAGCCTTTTCTGCAAAGCTGCTTTCCATCCAGTTAGTACTGATATACGTGACTATTCCTCTYCAGGGGCAGAACCTCACAGGACTCCTGTCAGTCCATTTTTTCAGCCTTTTGTCTAATCCCACTTCATCAGTTTGTTAAGGAGGATATTATGGGAGCCTGTGTTGGAAGTCTTTCCAAGATCAGGACAAACACATCCATTGTTCTTCCCTTAGCCACCAGGTTAGTCATCTTATCAGTTTCATCGTGCATGATTTTACCTTCATAAACCCATGCTGACGACTCCTAATCACCTTCTTGTCTTTTATGTGCTTGTAAACAGTTTCCAGGATTATTTGTTTCATTACTTCCCTGGGGACTGACAGAAGGCAAATCATCTGTAATTCCCCAGATTTGCCTCTGTGTGCTTCTTGAAGAGCGGTGGACGAACTGCAGGAATCTCCCTCAATTGCCATGACCTTTCAAAGATAATCAAGAGTGACTTCACACAGGCATTAATCAGCTCATTCAGCACTTGCTAGTACATCCTACCAATTGCTGTGGACTTTTGTATAACCTGTTAAAGTCTTCCATATTCTGATCCTCATCCAGTAAGTCTTCACTGCTCCTGACTTGACCACAGATCTCAGTGGCCTGGGATTGCTGAAGGTGAGTTTTAACAGTAAAGGCTGTGATGAAGAAAGCAGTGAATACTTCACTCATTTCTCCATCCTTTGCCAAAGATTCTCCTGCCCCACTCAGCAGTGGATCCAAATTTTTTCCCACTATCTGTTTAGAAGCCCTTTTTGTTGCTCTTCATATCACTTGTCAGATTCCAGATGGCTTATGGCTTTCCCAGTGCTATCCTCGAATGGTCAGTGTCTCTGTATGCTTACTGGTTCCCTGCTTCCAGTTCTTCTACATTTTTATACAGAAGTGATCAAGTCATGATGAGGCTCACACTCAATGCTTCCACCATTTCATACCCCACCATAAGCAGCATTCAGCTCCAAATGACTCAATTCCCATGGGACTTCTGAGGGTATACCAAAGCAAGTTTTCTACAAACCTGAAAACTTGACTCCTAATCAAGGAGTCTTAAAAGTGCAGCAGTCTTAAATGAAGACTTAAATGAAGACTTGGCTGAAGCCCTTTGTATTTAATGATGGCCTTCCCTGAGCATGTTTTGAAGGCATTTCCCAAAAAACATCACATTTTTTCCCCCTCTCCATTTCCAGTAGGTGATGAGATGGAAGTCCTACAGTGCTAGAACCTATTCCAAGTTTCAAGTAGGGGGCGAAACAAGAACAAGTAATAAACATGCCTTAGTGACCACTCTAAATCACAGGGAGTTCAATTTCCTATTGCTCTAGACCTTCTATTATAAAGACGTTAYCTCTTCATCACGGCAGCTGATTAGYATTCACTTTGAACAAGTGAAGTTCTCCACAAGATGTCACAGAATACTACCAGGTCATGGTAATTCAGACTCCTAAAYTGCATACCTGGCACTGATACAAACCTCTTGTTTTATATTGGACAATGAAAGGACCCCTTGTTCCATTCTTATTCCTCCCTGACAAAGCAGAGGTTGAGATATACGCACAATTTGCTCAACGAAGGAACACATCCAGAGGATTAATGATTTTCTGAGGTATTTTGCAATTCTCTCGAGCAAGGAGTTTACAGAATGCTGCTCTTCTTTTCACTGTAACAAACATTGTTTTCAGGATAATTAATTTTTWAAAAAACTTATTTCCAATAGTATGAAAGATACTGCACATTCCAATAATTTATTAATCTGCAGTATTGTGTTAAACCTTGGCTTGTTGCAGCAGTGGTTTCAGGAGCATTTGGAAGTCAAATAACTCTGTCCAGGGTCTTAAAGACTAAAAGTAAAAGGTCTAGGAGAAAGAAGTTAAACTCCTTGAAGAGTTGTAGATATCCAGAAAGAAGAGCACTATGGGAAAAAAWTCTGCAGTATCCAATCATTTTATGTTAATTATGAGGTAAATATTAATTTCATACATTTGTAAAAGCTTGTTTATCCATTCTAAAAACATAAAATCTTTAATAATCTGAGGAGGATTAGCAAACAGCATTTTGACTTCTGAGGWACCTTAGGAAAGCAGGCAACGCTGAAGAGGTAATCTCTGCAAGGAGAGGCTGGAGCTGTCATGTACTGGGCACAACTGGTTCCAAAGACCCACTGCAGGGCACAGCTGAGTCCCTCAGCCAAGATCACAGAATCACAGAATTAACTTGGTTGGGAAAGACCTTTTAGATCATAGATCCAGCTTTCAACCTAACACCACCTTGTCAATCAGACCATGGCACCTCAGTGAAAACGTACACAAGAAAGGGCCGAACACTGCCTGGCAGTGATAGGTGAAAAGTGGGAGAAGCAGCCCAGTGAACACTACTAAAATCAGAGAAGATAGAGGTGAGGAGATGCTGCAGGCGCCAGGTCACAGACTTCTTCACACTCCCTAGGATTCCATGGTGGATGAGGTCAGCTGACTGGTTGGCTGCCAAATACCCACTCAGCTACTCTCCCTCCTCAATAGGAGGGGGAGAAAAAGTAAAWTGTAAAATCTTGTTGGTCAAGATAACCAGGATAAATAGTGGGAAAAACTGGGACTGGATGTTCCCACAGAGGGGAATAGCTATGGGGAATCCTTTGTAATGGTAAAGTGGTGAAGGACTAACGGGTGTAGTATTATTGCGCGCTCAAATTTTTAACTTTTATCAGTGTTGTGGTGACATTTTGATTTAAGTTTGGGGACTTCCCCCTACACAAACCACCAACCCTTCAAGACAATGACAGTTTAGTAAGGAAAGCATAAGTTGCACATGCAAGTAAAGCAAAATAAGGAATTTATTCTTCTTTATTGCTTCCCATTAGCAAGCAGACATCCAGCCACTTCTTGGAAAGCAGGGCCTCAGCAAGTATAACCACTATTCAGGAACATAAACACCATAATGAATGCCTCTACCCACTTCTTCCTCCCTTCCCTGAGCTTTTATCACCAACCACAAAAKCATATAGCAGTAATATCACTTTGATCAGAGCAGATCAGCTGTTCTAGTTATGTCACCTCCCAGCCTTCTGTAGACCTCCAGCCTTGCCAGCCTCAGGCAGGACTTGAAGTGAGTGTTTTAATGCTGGRCAAGTGCTGTTCTGCAACAGCCACGGGTGCATTATAAACGCATCCAACATGAACGACAGCACCAGAGGGGCTGTTGTGAAGAATCTGCCTCCAACCCAGCCAGACCCAATATCATCTCCACCCCYTATTTCATGCTATTTTTATTATGCCCAGGTCCCAATTACTTAAATGTATTGTATAATCTCTGACCATCTCATCCCTTTCCTTTGTCATTCCTGATATTCCTTCATATCAACACTCATAGTATGTTCTCCACACTTAAACAATACACTTTGCACCCATCAATCAGAATTATATATCCTCACTAACTAATATCCTCTGTCCTTTAACAGAGGCCAAAGCCAATTCTCCACACCACCGTAGCTGGCTAATAAGCCGTTCCATTTAGACTTCGAAGCATGGAAAGGTCTTTGCAAAGAACAAGCTGTACACGACACTGGTTTGAAAGACAGAACACTAGACAAAGTGATCTAATACACCTTGCCTTCAAGTGTAAATCCACATAACAGTGTAGAATCTAAAGATGACATTCAGTCCTTCACAGAAAATCTATGAAACCACTGAAAATGCATTTGTCTCACAGCATTCTGAAAAATAAGTTTATCTCAGGAAGCTGCACATGATTTTCACTTTAGACTTTTTTGTCTGTATCTTCTACAGGATGATGTATCAGTTAGCTTTTTAACTTTWATCTCAGTTTTCCAACTAGGCCATTATCATCATTAGATAGCCTTCAGCAAGCACAAAGAGCTAAGCTATTAATAGTCACCACTATCCAAGCAGCAAAACCAGATGAGAGAAAAAAAATATCCAAACCAAATGCAACCTTTAAGAAGTCTGTTCTCTCATTTCACCTCCTCCTGCTAAAAGAGATAAAGAATGTTTCACAATAATACCCATCCCTACTTTTATGTTACACAGAACTGACCGCACTCACAGCCATTTARGCTAAGTTAATCCTTGCTAAGACTGTGCAAGGAAAATAGGATTGGTTTAAAGTTGTGCCTATAAGGAAAGTCTCTTACCTGCATTAGCCCAGGGAAGGTACCAGGGGCAGCTGACATTCACGTAGGTGCCAGGCAGTCCATCTGGCCAGCAGGCATAATCATCAAAYGTTCTGTTGCAGAATTTGCCTTCTGCAGAGATAGAAGGGACAATCATGCCACTGTCTTGTAATAATACTGCAAGAAGGAAAAGACTAAGAGAAGAATATAAAAGAAAATACAGACACATACATTTAAGCTTTAATGTGGAATTGAATGACATTTATTTATCCCAGAGTTTGTCTCTACACAGGAAACTGTTGTTTCAGGGAGGAATTAAGAAACAGATTAAGGGCTTGTGCTGCATCAATAGACAAGAAAGTAATGGATTACCTATCTTTTCCTATATTCGTTTACCTATCTTTTCCTTTTTACACCTCTACCTGTCTCAGTTTAATTTTAARTATTTTTTCCTATGAACACTAAAGATAATAATTCCTCAGAATGATTCAAAGTCATGTAGTTGAAAAGTGTACCCTAACATATAGGTCCACCAATGAAATACTACACAAAACCATAACTTTGCATTACAGCTTAATCAACATGAGAATACTTTAGATCCATTAAACTATCATTCTTAGAGGGCAGCACTCAACTGCATAACAGAACAATGCAGCAGAGGGAGATGAATGTGTCCCTGCCACTGTCATCAGCTACTGCTCTCACTYTGACATAATAATGTAGTTAAGACAAGGAATATTAACAGTTTTGAAATAATTCTTCACAGGCACAACTTTAGACCCATCGTATCTTTCTTCAGTGTGTCACAAAAGCACTGAAGCAGAGGAGAGGCTGCATGATGTCCAATTGTGAGCATCACTGACAAGTCACCATTGTCCTCCAAACACCACAATGCTGGCACATCACAGATGCTCTCAGCACATTACAGCAGCTCAAACACTAAAGACAAGCTACATTCTCATTTTCTGTAAGTCACTTGTTTTTTTGTGGTTTTTTTTTTCCCAAGCCATTTCAGCATTTTACTCTGCTCAAAATAATTTATACTTTATAAAGTTGAATTTATATTCAAACTTTACAACCCACAAACTCCTAGTTCAACGTGGTCCCAAATTTCCTAGCACCTTGACCCTTAAAAAAGTTTCAGGGCTATTACATTAGCAGCTGTTTGATATGGTACAGCTACTACTTGCCACTGCATAACAACTCTGGACCCAAGGACAAATATCTTTACAATGTAATTGCTCCATAAAATGCTTCCCCCAGCAGAGGGAAGAGTCCCACAGAGAGCAYGCAGGAGCAAATGGGATAAAGAAGCAAGCAATGGACCAGAAAGAAGTATTTTCAAGTTCATGATCACTCCCTTGCTACCTTTATCATGCATTTTAAAAATCAGTACTTCCTGTCCCTACCAAACCAGCTTACCTGCCACAATGGGGGGTGTCTCATACAAGTATTTCTGGCACTGGAGCTGATACTCCTTCCATTTCTGCATAACCTCAGAGAGGGACCCATCTGAACTCTGGAAGAGAAATCATGAGTCTCAGACACTGCAGAAATTTAAACTGTAGGGTTTTTCATGTAGAATGAGTAGGTCAGTGTGAAAATGACTACAAAAAGGCAGAACAGCACTGCTTATCACAAAGATTATGCTATATATTTGCCTGATTTTAACCAAATAAATCCCTTCTATTTGTACCACGAGGAAACAAGAACAGCTGTGCTCAGTGAAACCTAAACTGAGCTAGCCTTGCTTTCTTGAACATAGCCCAGCTGTGTGATTTATCATCTCATGAAAAGACAGCAGTAAGTTCTTTATTAGTAGAGGATTTCTTTCCAACAGCAATATTTCTGCTTTCCCATAAATGAAAACAATTTAATTCACTGTATTCTGCAGCTATTCCCCAAGCATTCTTCCAAAATGCAGATGAACACTTTTCCATCTTGTTTTTTCTTCCCTGAACAACTCTTCCCTACTTCCTGCATATTTTTCCTGAAACTGCAGAAAGAATAGGAACCTCCTTTTTGCACATTTTGGCAGGCTGCAGGTTCCACCATCAGCTACCCCAAGTAGTGAGGGGACAGAGGCAAAGTATGTACAAACTTCATCTGAGACAAAGCGAATTAGCTGTTATTAGAGTGAGCAGGTAACTCAGGCTGGCTGCTCACAAAACTCTAATAGATGTCCTACCTGGCTCACAGAGATCCAGCTTTATTCACTGCATTTGAGTGAAGACATTATTCCTTCTCTTCCCTCTTTGTAGGAACCAAGTTTGAATATCAGGATTAGGAGGCTGTCACTGATAAACAATGCAGGTAAACTCATCCTACTTTTTTCCACAGAAAGCCCCACGGATGTCTCAGACACACAATCAACAGCATGAAGCTAATGGTACAGCACACTACAGCTGCCCAGTGGAAAGAAATTCACTTAATCCTAAATGTCAATCAATTTATTAAGTGAAGCATGAGGGTAAATAATCCTTGCAGTTTTAGCCTCTCAGCTTCAATTGCTAATTTTATTTTCCTCTTGTACTTTTTTTCAGATAGCTAGAATAAAACCAGGGTATGGGAATAGCTGTTTTAAAATGAAGAAGTAATTTTAAAATTCTACTGCCTTTGAGGAAAGCCAAACTGAATGCTGTGCATTGAAACCAATATGACTAAAATTTAGACACCAATGCAATCACCTTGCTATAAAAGAAAAGGAGGACAGGCATTTTTGACTACAGAGCTCACAAGTCCTTTCATATCCATCCAATTAAAAAATTGTTCGAAAAGAAATAAACCAAGCACCACATGCATGTTTCTGCCTGAATTAACCCACTACATTTAATTACAATATGGTCTTGCACACATGATAAAAAGTACAGCATTTAGTAAATACCTGTGTTGCATTTCAAGAGTAAGTACCTATAACTTAACTTAGAACTTGTAGCTAGGGCCTCACAGCCATCATTTTAGAAGAATTCATTTAGCTCCCCCTGAAGTTAAAACAAGCACAAGCCTGTGGATCTTGGATACTCTGCCCTCATTTGCCTGATTTAAATCACCTTATCTACACCAATAAATGCTGTAAAGTCTGCCTATTGTAAAACAAATTGATTCTACTGAATGTACCTATGGAAACACAAACCTGTAGCATAGTGATGTATGCTCAGCATACCTGAAGGGGAAAGAAAACATCACCTAAATTAGGTCTACAGGTGTGCGTAGAGGAACAGATAATCAGTAACTAAAACTGAAATACCATTTACAGGTCTATGTAGGATGAGTAAGGATTGAGCACCAAAATGACCGCAATACAGGGAGGGAAACAGTTTTCAAACTTAAATTTTACTCAAGCAGTCTTTACAAAGTGACTTTTAGTTTATGTATCTTTTAGAATCAGAGAATGATTTACAAGTCTTCATTTCACAAGGGTGGTAAGCTGGAAGTTAGACAAGATTCTATCCTCTCATCACGARGTTAACACTCTAATAAAGTAATTAAAGGAACATTTTCAGGATGAACTCTTAAATTACAGRAGTTATTAAATATCTCACATCTTTCCAAAAAGTAACTATTGATCAAGCCTGTTGATGACTACATCAAGTTAATTCAAATTCAGCTTTTAAAATCATTGAAAGATAAAGATGCATACAGAGTTCCACTTAGAAACAAGACTACTTCTTAAAATATCCTGAGAATACCCTAAAACTGCTCACACTAAGAAAACTAGCTCTTTTGGAGTCAGGAAGGTTTAAAGTAATTTTTTCTAAATCAAGGTTCCTATTGCCTTCATGAGTGCAAGAACAACCAGTTTTAACTACAGCTTAAAAGCACGCCTCTATCCCACCATTTAAGAAAAAAGTAAAAACATTCTACTTATACTGGTCTTTCATCATGCGAGAAGACAACTCAAAGGAGGAAATTAGCAAACTATAGGAACTGAATAAACTAGATCCGTTCTTTCCGTGGAGATGACTGATTTGGCAGACAGTTTTCTATTATCTATAGTTTGTTGTAGTAAGACAATCAAATATAAATTCTAAGACTACATAATTTATTCTCTCYATGTAACTGTTCACTGTGGCTCAGCTAAAGACCATGGCTGGTTAGCAGTAAAATTAGCTTAAACTCGATTTTAATACATGTAATTTCTATTTTTCAGAGCTTAAGRCTCACATGACCAAAAATCACAAGCTGCACTATGTCACAGATTTACCATGTGAATAGTTATTCAAGTAAGAGATAGCTGTATTTTCTCTCTTAATTCTTTCTGTCACAAAGCATTAAATGAGCATATACAAGGCCAAGGTTTCTGGGTCAGTACCTAAAATTTGGAGCAAACAGAGAATGTATAGCTTTGCTAAGCTCAGAACTACGTTTTCATTACTGAAAGCATGTAGTTGCGGGTTTACTTTGGAGTTTTTTTGCTTTTATATTCAACCATGGGAGGAAAAACAGCAGTTTTGCTGAGGTGAAAATATATCACAGTAGAATAGTGAAGGAGAAGATGGAAGCACGGCTGACTGGTTAAGGTGGAGAAGTCAAGAGGCATGAATGATGAAAGATATTAAGGAAGTAAGGGATAGTGCAGCCTAAGGAGCATGAAACAAATGCAGAAAAATTAGGACAGGCACGAGGACAAAGACTGGGAGCCTCTCAGTGTATGTACACAATTAATTAAGTGCAATTAATCTCCAGTGAGCACACTCTAAATTGATACATTCAACAGTCTGAAGACAGAATTCCTTACAAATCCTTCCTAGGAAAGCCCCTTTCTATAGCCATCATTTGTCTTCAYAGGCCCAACTTTAAAGGAAGCATTTTAATCACTTTTCAACATCTTTGCAACTATTCTTGCTGAAACAAAAACCAGCATCCACACAGATCCAAGGTGATCAATGCCACAAAAGCGATATTCTAATGCAGTGAATCCGAGCACACAGGGTATATACCTCCAGTCAAAATACACGACGAAATGGCATTAAAGTGGAAAGGAGAGTTTCCAAGAGCTACAGAGGCAACTGGTGACTCCTGGGATTACCCTCTTCTCTCTTCTCCCACCACCCCATAAAAGGTCRCACATGCAACAGAATGAGAAATTCCTCCTTAAGTTTGCATTTCTTTCATCTTTGCTTGTTTTTAAACAGGAATACTTATGCCACAGCTTCTTCATGTTTTTAGTATTTCAGGATAACAAGCAAGACTTTGCCTTGSCGCTAAAGGCTCGCATGTAATGTTACAACCACTGGGACCTCCCAATTGCTAATTTTAATCTTCAAAAGCAGAAGATTAGCAACATGGCATTGAACAACAGTTTGTTCAATGTACGACGGCCTTGGTATTCTTCCCTTGGATAGTAATGCYGGCGTATCTACCTCATGAGAGGAGGATTCAGATTATATTTACTATCCTTTAGATCAGAAGCACTAGTGAGTTACTTTTAAATTTCACTGCCCTTTTTGAAAAGCCCAATGCAACACAATATTTCAAGGCTATTCTGCTCAGGATCAGCACAGCAACTAAGTCTCTCAAGATAGGTGAAGAATACACATTACCAGCCTGATGCTTGTTATGACTTGTACTGTTCTTTTTGGTAAAATACAGATCTTATTAAATTATCAGTTATGTAACAGAGGCTATAGGTCTGCATCAACAAACCAGAGCAGAGTGGGACAATCCYCTCCCTTGCCCACCTGGTGACACTGTAGTGCCCCACAAGACACAGATGGCCCTCCTAGCTGCTCGGGCACTGCTGCCTCAYGTTCAACTTGCCATCGACCAGAACCCCCAGATCCCTTTCCATGGCTCTGCTTTCCAGCATCTCATTCCCCAGTCTATCCCTACATCCAGGGTTGCCCTATTCCAGGTGCAGAATTTGGCACTTTCCCTTGTTGAACTTCATATGGCTGATGATTGCCAAGTCCTCTGATCTGTCGAGGTATCTCTGCAGAGCCTCCCTTACTTCAGGGAAGTCAAYATCTCCTCCCAAGTTTGTATCAACTACAGGCTTCCTTAGCATCCCTTCCAGTCCTGCATCCAAGTTKTTTATGAAGATGTTGAAGAGCACTTGAGGCACCTGCCTCAAGTGGCAGGTCTCYAGTCTGATGCCACCCCATTCCCCAAAAGCCTTTGTGCCCAATYTGTGAGCCACGTGCTCACCCATTGTAGGATGTGCTTATCCAACTATGTCCTGAACATTTTGTCCAGAAAGATCTGAGAGACAGGATCAAAAGCTTTACTGAAATCCAAAAGAAATACACTAGCTGACCTCCCGTGATCAACTAAACAGGTTACTTTGTCATAAAAGGAAAACTGATTTACTGCTGCAGCCTCAGCTCAAATATTGTGCGCAGTTTAGGCCACCGTGATGTAAGAAAGAAATTAAACTATTAGAGATAGTCCTCATGAGGGGAAGAGGCGGGGCAGGCACTGATCTCTTCTCTGTTCTGACCAGTGGCAAGACCGAGGTAATGTCCTGAAGTTGTGTCAAGGGAGATTTACATTGGATATTAGGAGAAGGTTCTTCACCCA